ATGAGAAAGAGATACTAGTTTTAATATATATGTCAATAAGAAAAAAAAAAAAAAAAACAGTCCAGGACTTCAGTAAGATGGTGGAATAGACAGACAAGCTACAAAGACCCTCTTCAACAAAGAAAAGGGAAACCAATTAACAGAGATACAGAAGATTATCCTGGAGCCCTGAGCTTTGAAAGGAAGTATACAGAAGTGAGTTAGGCATCAACTAGTGGATAAACCTGAACAAAAACAGTGAGTGGAGAGACGGAGCAGTGGACTGTCAGCTACTCTGACGGGACCAACAGCCTGAATATTTCCGAGTGGTGTTGGGACATAAGAATTGACCTAAAGATTAGCCCTGGTCGCCAAGGACCGCAGGGACGACAGTGCTGGTGGCCCATGACTAGGAAAGGAAACAGCAAGGAGGGAGATAACCTGAGCTGTGGACTTCTGGCTGTCCGGAGGGTGCAGCCATTTTGAATCTGTACGAGCAGTGGCCATTTTGGAAATGTAAGGTGACCAAGGGTGCAGCCATTTTGAATCTTTACAAAAGTGGCAGCCATTTTGGATATTTAAAGTGACCAAGGGCACAGCCATTTTGAATCTTTACAAGTAGCAGCTATTTTGGATTTTAAAGTGACAGCATTCTCATTCAGATTTTAGGGACCTAAGAATAGGCTCTGTTTGCCAAGGACGGCAACAGGAGGCTGACGATGGGAAAGGAGATAGGTGGTGAGTATATAAGTGCTGCCAACTAGCGAATCAAGGAGCAAAGCATAATACCTTGCTTACATAGATAACATACAAAGAAAACAAAAATTGTGGCAAGTCATTCCAACATACAATCACCTATTAAATATAAACACAAAAATGTCACTATGTCTCACAGACAACAGAGCATCACAGTCCACACAAAGAAGCAAAAAAAAAAAAAGTCCACACATATAAAGCAGGAGAAACAAGGGATCAGAATACACACTCAAAACACATCCCTGAGGAAGATGCAGCATTGGAACTCCCTGGTAAGGAATTCAAGAGAATTATATTTAGGTATCATCAACGAATTGAGAGAGAGATCAAGGAAAACACTGACAGAATTAAGGAAAACACAGAGAAAACCCTAGAACAATTTTGAAAGACAATACAAGAACAAAATGATAAAATAAATAAAAATTAGAAATGGTACAAAATCTACACACAGAAATTCAGAAGATTAATACTAAATTTTCCAAAACAGATAACTCATTGAACAGGCAAAGGAGTAGAACTGAATTAATGGAAGACAGAATTAGTGAGATTGAAGGCAAATACCTCAATACTTCTTTGGAAAGGGATCAATCAGAAAAAAGATCAAAACAAAATAAAGAAAGCCCAAGGTAGGAGCTCTGGTAGCATAGTGGCTAAGACACCTGATGGCTAACCAGAAGGCTGGCAGTTCAAACCCACTGGCCACTCCTCGGAGGGAAGATGGGGCAATCTACTTCCGTAGTGATATTGCCTCGGAAACCCAAGGAGGGGTCGCTATGAGTCAGGTCCAACTCGACGGCACATAACAACAACAACAACAACAAGGT